CGTATTTGCAAAGGGCTTTGATAAGAAGGTGTTAGAGAGTGCAATATATTATCATGCTAAATATATACTTTAGTCTTTTAACAGGGATTGGGGATATGCAAAATAAGCTAGATGATGTTGTTGATTAATACACGCTGAAATAATTTGTCTAAACTCTATAGAAAGAACAAATGATAATCATTTGTCATATAAAAATATATAGCTATATGGTCACGCTAGTTTTCTGTGCCCGTTATTATCACCTCCAGAAAAAATTTCCACTTCAGATTCTTTAAGGCTAAGGCAGCAGAGCCACACTTAGCGCTGTTTAACAACAGCAGCTCAGCGTCACAGAGAGCAAACATTTTGCATAAATCACAGATCTCTCAGAATTAACTCATGCTGTTTATTCTGTACCTGTCTAATCACTAGAAGTGTCTTATTTTTTTTACCCTTCTCCCAGGACAAGCTAGCAACAGTAAGGAATACTCTTAAAGCAAGGCTCAGACTTAATTATGCAAGGCATCTGTGACTGTACGTAAAGCCTAGTTCCAGCTGATATTGTGTCTGCATTATGAGGTCAAGAACAAATACCCCACTGAGCTCAGTAACACAAGTCATGCCCATGAACTAGTAAACAATTTTTATTATTATTTCCCTGTACTTCTGTGAATAAATTCTTCCTCTGATACAGTTACTGAACTTATATAAAAACTCATTCTGCTGTGGCAACAAAAATGTAAAGAAGGAGGGTGTTGGCCACAAATGCTCATTATTTAGCCTAGTGGCATTATCAACGGAGGCAACAACAGTGCATCCTAGAAAAGGACTGTTCAGGTAGCAGCCCAAAGCCTGGTGTTACAGAAAATGAATAAATACCTAATTTTTGGAATGTTGAAATACTTTAAGCTGCTTTTTTAACATTTATGTTGTACCTTTAATCAGATGGGGAGATTTTAAATATAAACATAAAAAAAGCCGTGGTGAAGATGTTCACAGTATATTGTATTCTATCAGAGGACTCTGTCTTTTTATTTTATTTATTTATTTATCTAGCATTTTCCTTCAGGATAATAGTATGCCAATGCCATGCTGTAGCTTTCCATCCTTTCCCCAGATTGAATTAGACCAGATGCCTATTGGCAAAACTGGGGACTAGGTCTTTGGTCTCCCACAGCTCATTTCTTAACAAAATGGAATGTTCTCTGTATAACATAGTCATCATTTAGGGAACATGCATATCTTACATGGCTACTGCACTCACATGTGCTTTTTAACCATCGTGCCAAATGAATACTTTTGTGTCACCAGTGAAGCTGTGGCTCTTGCTTGCTTGGGTTCTTCAGTTTTAATGAAAAATTTGTCATTCCAAATAATTTCTCTGCCTTCATTAATTAGTTCAGGGGCTCTTGTTAATCCTTACTGTTCTGCTGTTATTATATCCTTTCTTTACACTTCCTTATTTCCTTCTTTTTTAATTATGATTTTCTTTATTGTAATGCAAAGAAGGCTTCTCGCAACCTACCAACCAAACTTCTCTGATTCATACTTGACTCAAACAAGTGTACTTATACAACTTTAGCTTTTTTTTGTTTATTGTAATTAATTCAATTGTTATTGATAACAAGCAATTCTGCAGGTCAAATATATCTCATTAAACACAATAGTTCATTCTTCTTCAGCTGTATGTGGAACTGCTAACAAGAAGTTTGTCCTGTGTGTCAAGATCCTCTCTGAACTGAGGTTTTCTTTTTTTCGAATTGCAAAGATCCTGTTTGGATGAATATTTTAAATACTTTCTGTGTGATACTGTGCACAGAATATCCACAAGAGGGAACTATTTTACATAAGGAGAAGTAATTTTCTTGCTGCTAAAATACTCTCAGCAACCAAACTCTCCAGCTTTAAGTCAAGCTGACATGATTGTGTCCCAGACAATGGTGCATGGCAGCAGTAGAAAAAACACAGCTAAACACGGTGCTCATTACGTTCTGTAAATATTATTCAGTCAAATAAGTAAATTTGGAGCTACTGTGTTGAAATAGTAAATAGAAGACTAATCAGTGTAAATTTTGTGTTTACTGAGAATAGATTGCTCCAGGAAACATAGATGGAAAACCTGGTTTGCTCTGCAGGCAATGTGAAATGCAGGTGTTAGGACACCAGAAAGCCGTCCTTTACTTATCCATAGTGAGCAGTCTCCTGTGGCACTTAATTTGGCTGATTCTTACTCAAGTGTCATTTGTATTTCTACCTTGAAATCCATGAACAAAATACAAAGTTTCCTTCTTTATATATGCTTTGCCTTTAAAAGGCAACTCATAATAAGCAAATTCTCTGAGACGATGCCTCACCAGGCATCAACCAGTTTATCTTTGTGTGTGAGTTTCATCACAAATATTTGCAGCATATTGAGACCTGTTTACATAAATAACAGGAGTTCACTTAGCACAGATCACTCCCTGGTATATAGTGTGACATTTATGAACTACAAGTTCCGATGCATGTATTGGCTGATTAGATTATGAATGTTTGAGGAGCTGAACTTCAGTCAGTTTTTTGTACAGGTGCTCACAGTAAAATTCCTATCCCCATCTAAGCCTTAAATGTTGCATAAACATGTTCAAAGCAAATGATTTGAGAGCATAGTCTACATATTTCAGTGGATTTGGCTTACTTGAACCTGAATATTTCCTTGGGACCATCCTTTGTATCTGTGTGTACAGCACTGTGGTTCAGGATTTCTGCTAGCTGTAAGGACATCTGTGAGCACCTGCAACCCTTCCGAAGATCAAGCATTGAGAGGCTGCATCCTGATGTCCTGCCCTCTTTCCATGGTTTGCTGGTGGATGAATGGACTTGGGGATGCATGACTGCAAAGGGACGGGTACTCCCTGAACTCCAACCCAGAGCAAATGGCTACCGGGACGGGGTTCAGGTCCCCAGATGTGTAACCTGTCAACATGACACTGTAACTGGTGGCTTTCTACTTGCAGGGAGGGCTGATAAAGACCAGGGGACTTGGCATCACAGCATCACCCTGTGAGTGAGGCTGTGAGTGGCAACTGTGACACTTCTTTCCAACCTCTGTTCTGCACCCCGAAGTCCCAGTTAGCTCCCTTTTACAGCTGGCAGGATGTGTACCATGCAACTGAGTGTCTGTCTTCCTCTGGAATATAGCTATGCAGTGCTTCATCACTTGTACATATGTACCTCCACATTGCTGGCTCATGCTTTTTCTGCTCAGAGGCCCCTATTAACACCCCCCTGCAGAAGGAAGATCTTTGAATGAACACACCAAAGTGCAGTATTGTGGTTACTGTGCTGTTGGTCATAGTTAGACCAACAGCATTGTTATTAAACAAGAACTGGAGATGAAAGGTTTAGAGACCCATAAAAAATTCTGAAGACTCAAAGAATGTCATTACCACCACTTAAGTAAAAAATACAAACAAACTCATGGCTGCTGCAGAAACAGGCATGACTCCTGGCACAGGTTACCAGCTCACCATCTTGCCGTTGTTGCCCAGTGCACAACACTGTGACTTTGTGGGCTGTGGAAGGCCACACTCAGGCTTCTGCATTTTGCCCATAGAAAGATGAGAGGATCTGCGTGACACTTTGTACAGCAGCTGGGTGAGCAGACCGTGTGCCAAATGAGGACTTTATTTAATAAATAAATAAAGAGATCGATAAATAAATAAATAGACAGATAAATAAATAATCATCTGCTTTACAGTGGAAATCTGAAGGGGAAAAAAATAACAGGAGACAGCGATCCGGATTTTTTGTCGGTTTCTCCCAGCTCCAACGCGTCACTATCAATCGTTGTTCCTATTTCTAAGGGTGAATTTCAGGAACGTTCCGGGGCCGTTCGCCACACTTCCCCGCGTCCATTCACAAAAAAAAAAAAAATATAATAATAATAAAAAAATAATCCCAGAACGCTCTCGGAACAGAGCGAGCCCCGACGCCTGTTCCTCGCTCCCCGCCGCCCGGCCTCGACAGAGCCCTCCCGCCCCGCGGGCACCTGCTGCTGCAGCTCAGCCGCCGCCCGTGACCCTGCACGGCCCTCAGCCCCGTTCAGCCCCCGTCAGCCCCGTTTCCCTGCCCCTTAGGGTGGTGGCAGCCCCCAGCCATGTCGTGCCGGGCTGCTGCGGAGCAGGGCGGGCAAAATGGGCTCCGCGGGGAGCGCGGCAGCGGGGGCCGCGGCAGCGCCGTGCGTTAGCCGCTGCGTCATGACATCCTCCGAACCGGCCGCCCGCCCCCGCCCCTGTACGGCTGCGGGGACCACTGTGCGGCGACGGCGATGGACCCGCCCGGGCCGGCGGGACCTGTCGGAGCGGCCGCTCGCCGCCACCTGTGAGCAGTCTCTGTCCCTCGCTGCGCCGCGCCCCGCCACTCGCCGGCACGCCTCCCTCGCCGCCCGCGGGACCCGGCGGCCCCATGGGGAGCCGCAGAGCCGTCTGAGCCGGCGCCCCCTCGGCGCACGCGGCGTCCCGGGCCGTCCCGCACCGCACCCTCCTGCGGAGCGCGTCCCCCGGCGGCGCGCGAGGAGGAGGGGCGGGAGCCGGCGGCGCCTCTGCGCGAGTGGGAGCAACAGCGTGAGAAGCGGCAGCCTGCGCCCTGGAGCGAGCTCCCGAAGGATGGGCGAGGAGGCGGCGGCGGCAGCGCCCGCGCAGATGGGCCAGCGGAGGATGAATTAGGAGCCACAGGAGGCTGCTGCCGGCACCGCGGGGGGAAGAGGAGAGGAAGGGGCTGGACTTGGAAGAGGAGGAGGAGGAGGAGGAGGGTGCGCGGGGGGGACTGAGTATCGCTAATAACAAGTTAAAGACTAAAAACAATAATAAGAGAGCACCTCCGGGAAGATCCGCGGCGGAGGCCGAGCGATCCCCGCGGCGGCAGCGGGCTCGCAGCGCTGGGGATCTCGGAGCAACGCTCGGCGGCATCGGCGTGTGGCGGTGGTGGTGGATGATTTTTTCGGGGGTGGGCGGGCGGGGGCTGCGTATGCGGGAGAAGGAAGGGGTGGGAAGCTGAGGAGCGGACTACCTTGCCGTTATTATTATTATTTTTTATTATTTTTACTGCTATTATTTACGCCGCGCAAGGAGGACGCTCGGAATTTACCGGCCTGCCGGCTCCCGAGAAGGGACCGGGGATTGCGGCGGTCGCTTTTCTTTCTCGATTATTTTTTGTTTGTTTGTTTGTTTTGATTTGGCTTTTTGTTCTCCCTCCCGTTATTTCCCCTTTCCCGCTGAGCGGCGGCAGCAATATGGCTGGTGATGGGCTTTTTGGGGGGCGCTGGCGGCGGGAGGAGCTCTCGGCAGCCCCTGCGCGCCCGGCTCGCTGTTAGCTATGGCAAATGGCAGCGGCGGCGGCTCCTACCCGGGCGGCAGCGGTGGCGGCATTAGAATGAGTAACAATATCAACGCCAACAATCTCAACACAGACTCGTCCTCCTCCCCCGTCAATGTGCCCAAGATGGATGCGCTCATCATCCCGGTGACCATGGAGGTGCCCTGCGATAGCCGCGGACAGCGCATGTGGTGGGCTTTCCTCGCCTCATCCATGGTCACTTTCTTTGGGGGACTGTTTATCATCCTGCTGTGGAGGACCCTCAAGTACCTGTGGACTGTCTGCTGCCACTGCGGGGTCAAAAACAAGGTAACTCCCTTCCCTTCTTTTCCCGGTGGCGGTGAGGAGGAGCGGAGCTCAGCCTCTGCCCGGGACAGCTCTCAGCCGTGCGGGAGTGCCACGGAGCTGCGGGTGGGTGAGCGGGTGGGCGGCAGCGCCGTGCCTGCTCTGCAGGGCCGCACGGGGCTGCGATACGGGGAGCGAAGCTGGCGGAGGTGGGCGAGACCCTAGAGGTGACCCCGGCTCCCCTCGCCCACATGGAGACACGGCTCTGGGGACACCGAAGTGGTAGCGCGCTGGGACGGCGCGGTTCAGAAGTTGTACGCACCGCCGGGGCCGCGCGTGGCTGACGGGCGATGGTGCTCGTTGTGCGGTGTGAGCCCTCCGTTCGCTGTGTGGGAAACTTCGGCAAAATTAACGAGGTGAACTTCTCGTTCCAGTTAGTCTTTCTAAGGCTAGCTCTACACGACTCTAGATTCTCATCTCTCATGCTTCTGTTTCAGAAATTAGGTGTAAGTATTTAGAGGTGTGAGTATCTGCTAGAGTACATTCATAAGTAAGGCACTAGATCACATTTCCCTAACCTAATTGTGATATCTTGGAAGTGACCTTTTGCGTTTTTGCCTATTACCGGCAGGAAGAAATTGCAGTACGTGCAGTAAGGTTGGCTTCTGCTCTGAAGGTCTCCATCAGGCCAAGGCTGAGATCTCACCTAGGTCCAGGCTTTCATACTTTTTTAAGACAAATGGGATAGAAAGTGTTAAGACTCTGTATTTTGTATGGGATTTTGACAGACCCCAAAATAGACCAGCAGCTGGAGTTTCTCCCCTTCCCTTTTCACATTTTTTGGATTACAAATGGAATAATATCTGCTTCAGTTATTCCTGGCACACGGACACCCACAAAAACACACACACCTTTTAATATATGGTTGCTAGGTTGCTGGTTTGCTTTGACGTACAGTGAGCTGTCTTCCCCTTTCTCCTGTCTCCTCCCCTTGAAGCAAACTCCATAAGGCTCCACACAGCATCCAGCACCTATGGGAATCAGCACCAAAGCTGTGGTGCAAGCAGCTCCCACTTTGCTCACCATGAGCTCAGTGAGTGCCTTGGAGTCTCAGTGAATCCCTCTTCTGCCATTGTAAGGTGGATCACTTGCAAGGAATTGGGCCTATCTATGGAAGAAGGGAGTGCGAGAGATGGAGCGTAAATAAAAGCTTTTAACTTGGCCTTAGGCTGTAGGAAACCTCCCAGGCTGTATCATTTCTTTGTAGACATGTCTTAATCTGTACAAAACCAAACCCAAACTTTTTCAGAGAGGTGTTAGCCAGGTATGATGACAAAGCTCAAATGCATTTGTGATAATTCACATGTCTTGTAAAGTACCATTTCCTACAAGGCAATTTTCAAGTGGTGGTGTATTTTAGAATTATGCTCAGTTTCTTTTGTGTGTATTTAGTATTCTCTGTGTGATGAGACAAAGCTGCAAAGGCTATAGAGGGTTCTGAAGGAAAAGAAAATCCTACAGGTCATTGCCAACAGCTTCTTTCCTTGAGAGAATTAAAAGTGGAGTGAAGAGGCTTCTGCGCAGAGTTCCTAAACATAATGTCCTGGTGGGTCTTGTTGGTCCAACAGCCCATTGTTAGGATATAGTTCAAGCAGATAGTTCAGCTCTTATTCAGTACAGAGAAGCATATCTAAACTGTTTTTAAAATCTTTTGGGCTATATGTATCTATTAGTTAAATAACAGATGTTGTTAAGGGGTTCTGACTCTTACAGTCTGAGTGATTTGACAGATGGCACTTGCGTGGGGTTGCAAAATCCGAGTGTTTCACATATGTGAGACCTGGAGGAGCTACTATGGCCATGAGCGTCTATGGGGCAGGAGGAGAGAAGGCTTTGCAGGTAGGGGGAGATAGATGTCTCCTTTTAGGTTGTGTCTGGTATGCTAGTAAAGGTTTCCAAGCCTCTAGTGAGCAAGAACTGTCATGAACTGATTGTGCATTCCTTCCAGGCTAAAATGGTTAATCTGGGGGAATTCTGTGTGGGTAAGGAGTAACTAATTAATGGAGAATGCTATTTTTACCACTTAGGGTATTAAGGAGGAAGGAAGGTCCAGAAGTGCCTTAAACTTGGCTGTTACCAAGCACACGCTTTGTGACGCACGGTAACTTGGGATGGGCTGCCTGAGCTGCAGGTGAAAAATGCAAAAGCACGCACACGCTATGTCAACTGCATTGGATCTGCTAGTGAGGGCCATTTCACAAGAAGCAGCTCCTCCTGCTGTGGAACTGAAGAAATTTTCTCTGTGTTAGGACCTATCCTTCCCTCTGCTGCTCTTGTGCTGCTCCACAGGTTGCAGCATAGCTGGCTTGCCAGCATCCTCTCAGCCACTGCATAGAGTGATATCAGTGAGTGAGTGGAAAAAAATCTTTCTCATGTCTGTGTCTCTGTCTTGCTGGATAACTCATATATACTAAAAGGAGCACAGAATTGCTATCCTAACACCTATGTCCATATGAGTTACTGCAAGGCACTGCAAAAAACTTCAATTTTCTTCCTGCTATGTTTTGATCTCAACATTACATTCTTCAGAATTACCAGTGATTGTCAACTTTATTTGGTGAATGTGAGCCTTTTTAATGGCTGCATGGAAGGATTTAGAACTTTTTCTCTCCTCAACTCATTGAATTTAAGATTGGAATTTAAAATTGTGGCACAAACTGTTTAACACTTTGTGGTATGAAATTCCAATATGTAATTTTCATTTTTGTGGAGATAAAGTTGAGGTATTATAAGTTGAGAATACAAAAACTTTTGGTGACAGAATGATAAACACTACTCCTTGAAACTCCATATTTATGTCACCGTACACTAATAGAACATTAATATTAATCATGTACTAACAGTGATTGCTGAATTTACAGGATTTGTATGCTCTATGCTTCCTTTGTGAGATTACACTAGTTAAAGTCTGAGAAAAAGAAAAATGTAAATCTTGACCTGTGTTGTCAGTATTTCATGTAATATGAACCATTGCAATTGAAGCCCTTGTTTTATTGTATTCAATTTGGTTTATAATTTTACATGTAATTTTCACAAAGTTAGCTACAGTGGTTTTGCAAAGATATAGCAAATGATGAATATTTTTTCTATAGCGTTTACATGCACATTTTAAGAGAAGACTTTGTTAAACAACTTGTCTTTTGTTTGCCTTTTGTTTGCCTTGTGATGGGCTCATTCCTGTTTGTGTATTGAAGGTAGCACATGAGATTTCCATTCAAAGGATTCTGAGCAATGCTGTTGGTCTTGTTTCTGGAAAAATATAGAAAAAGAAAGTAAATATTCACATTGATATACACAGTTACACAGAGTAACTAAATATTGCTAGACAATTTGTAATCTTTTGATTTTATGGATCTGTGACTGCATTTTGTATACTCCTGAAGGGCAATTTCCATTTTATAAACATTATGTGATGTTCAGTGTTGGCTTTGAATGAACTCATGAACAAGAAAGTGGTGCTGTGGAATGTGAAAGGCCAGATCTGGGGCTCACCACTCCTTGGCTGTGCAGAGAGTGTGGACTGTCTCCTTGTGAAGAGGGATGGGCTGGTCCCTGTGCCCCTACTCCTTGGGGTGTCTTTGTCACTGTGTGTACATTTGTATTTCAGTGTTTCCTCCACAGAAGCCAGGACTCCTCTATGTATCAAATGAATCCCACAATTATAGATGGCAGTTGCTGGTCTGCAGTGACAAGCTGCAGCAGTTTCCTGTGATATTAGTCTGCATATTTTGGAAATTTAATAAACTACAGAGTGCTAGATTGGGCCAATAGAAACTGACCAACGTTCCTGTTTGTTTTCAGTAGAAAAATATAAATTTTACTACTACAATATTTGCTGAATGTGTTCATGAGTTAAGAGAAGTTAAGAATTTTCATCAAGGCCTGTGAGCCCTGGAACATTAATTTCTAATTTCCTTAAAACAAGAAGTGCTTCTACCACACTGCCTCTCATATAGCCAAGTTGGTTCATTTCCTAGCAGTTCTTGAATAAATCTTCAAATAAAACTGAAGAGACAGACACAAAGCAAGGCACCATCTACTCAGAAAAGTAGAATACATTAGAAGACGTGTGGGTACACAATGCAGGAGATGTCTCCACTTAAATCTGCATGTGGAAACCTCACTTGGACTCCCTCAAAGAGCAGAAGGTGATGAACAACTGGGAGCTCAAGAGATTAGCAGTGGGCTGCAAAGCGTTATGCCCTTCTGTCACATGCTTGATTGGGATCACAAAACAGGATCATTACCCTCCCATGGCCGTCAGGTGGTCTGTGTTTAAGTGCTCCGCGGGTGTCCTGCCGCACAGGTGGCCAGCTGGGACATGGCATGGCACAAGGGTCAAGAGCTGGGAAAAGGGGAGTTGGTGGCTCTGTGCAGATGGTGTTGGGATAAGTGGAGGAGGCAGCAATGTGGAGAGGGGTGTGCAGCTCTGTGCCAAGCTGCTGGTCTGCTGTGAAATAGGAAGCACTTTCAGCTCTCTAGAGCTCGAAATGGATTTCACATTTTACAAAGACATGATCAAATTGGTTATGTATGCAGAAAAGAAAATGTATGGACAAGGATTTAAGCTGTAAACCTAACAATCTCGACAGAAATGTTATTTTGATGCAGTGTAATACTTATTCTCAAGGCTTTGCAAAGCATACATTTAAGAAGAAAATCTGTGCTCAGAAAATTTGCAACTCTCACACATTTGCAAATTTGTAGGTGCTGGTTGGAAACCATTAGATTTCACAATTTTTTGCAGTTTAGCACAACATAAGAAATGCTTGCAATAGGGAATAAAAAGCTTTTTAATAACAGTGATCTACATACTCAGTTTTGAAGCTGTGGGATTTCTGAATGCGGAATGAGGACAATTTAAAGTCCCAGATACAGAGACACTGAAAATTTTGAGAGCAGTGTTTCTAAGTATAAGCTCTGCAGGGACAGGATCTAATGATTATAATTAGAAAAGCAATGAT